GCTGAACAAACACAGGGAGCAAAAGATTGCTCAGTCTGCCCAACCTTGGCCAGGGAAGGTAATACTGGTGAGGAAGGATGTAACCAAATATTCAATATTAGGGGTGAATGTAAAGGTCTGAGAATCTGTCATTTAAAAACACACTAACCCGACTAAAAAAATCTGATTTAAATCCAATTTAGTTTTCAAATTCCATCTTTGCCCACACTAAGGGGACGTTTTACATTACACTGTTTTCAACTAAAAACAGAAAACTGTTTATGCATTTTGCCCATTTATTTACACAACAACAACGTTTTGGGGGCCTGAAATGCAAACTTTTGAAAACGGCACCATTATCATCTCTGTGTAAACTATAAAAACTTCAATTTGTGAAAATGATGTCATGCGCATGCAAAATATATGTGGGCCATTCCACCGAATGCCATTTGCTTGTTGTACTCTTCCAAAAAAATATATATTTTTTTTTTAAGCTGAATCTAGTAACACACATATTTAACTATAGAAAATCTGTACTGGTCAATCTCAGGTAACTTTATTTAATTTTTTACAGAGTTTTTAAGTGGAAGATGGTTGCATTTTTCTCAGTCCTGTTACCAAAACTCTTCCTTCATTTTCCCCTCAAGTGTTTATTTTAAAGAAATTGTTAGTTTCATTGTCAAAATATTTATATTTATCATAAAAAAAATTACTATACGTCTACGCAAAGAGTATTTTTCTAAAAAACGCAAACCCATTTTTTTATTTTAAAGGCGACTCTAACCTCAAGTTTTCACATTTTTATGATGTAATTAATTAAACAATGGGATAAATTATGGACGAAACTTAATAAAAAAAAAAAATAGTGGTTTAACTTTATTTTTATTTTTTAGAAAAAACAATTTAGTAACAGGAAAGAACACTAGGTAACAGGAATGTGTGTCCATATATGTGTATATAGGTTTGACTACACTTGTGAGGTGTTAATGTCCTCACTGATATAAAAAAAAAAAAAGACCTCACCAATATCATGAAATACATTTGTGCCGGTGCGTATTATGTCTTTTAAATGTGTCTGTGTTTGTACCTACTTAACCATATTTTGGGGACAAATTTTTACCCAGAAATGAGCCAATCCTGACAAAATCTCCGAAAACCTCCTTTTGGGGACATCCCCATTTGTTTAAAAATAAATAAATAAATAAATTCCTAAAAACCAGGTGAATATTGTTATATAGTAATATGTCAACTAAGGCTCTGTCCTCATTGATAATATATGTATGGGCCCTATTTTTTTTACAGACTTTTACATACCAGTGAGGGTGGAATATAATATCCAAAATATTATATATTATTATATATAATATATTAGCAAAAAAGTCCCACCCTCACTGGTATGTAAAAGTCTGTAAAAATAGGGCCCAATGCACAATGTTAATATGAAGAAATTTTGGTTTTACTTATATTTTTTAATAACTTGTGTTGTGATCTTTTATGGTTAAAGGAAATGCCCATAAACTTAACAAATAATGCCTTTTCAGGTTTTAAATGATTTTATTTTTTCTTACAGTGAAGGTCACACTCAAATGCCATTCCATGTATGGTCTAATACAGCAATTGCAAGTACATTTTCTATCATACTTGCAGGAATGTAACATAAAACAACAATGCAGGAACAACCATAAATAAGTCTTCTCTGGGCAAAAACATTGTCTCAGTGTGGATAGAAGGAGAAAACGTAGAGAAAAAGATGCACTTTCAAATTTATCTAGATTAATATGGATGTAGCCTAATATTTACATTAATAAATCTGATGACACTACTCACTCCTGTTACTTTTACTCAGTTACTATATATAAGTATAGGATATATGAGTAACAGGACTGAAAGTAACAGGATTGAGATTTTAGGATAAAATTAGCAAATACATATAATCTAGCCACATGGAGTACATGCTAATATTATGAGAATACTCAGCAAATTATAGTGATTCACCAAAGATTTGTATTTTTAAAATAAACAAGTAACATCTAAGAAATAATGTAAGTAACAGGACGGTTTATTTATAATGATGCTCCCAGCCACCGTTACAATATCATCAAATATACAGAAAAGAAAATAAGACCACATGCTTTCGGTCATTTCATTTCAAGATCCAGTTGTTGCAATATTATGTTGAAAATGTGTCTTCTGGAATTTTCCCAGTTTTTTAGAGGGGGAATGTGTTAGGGTAACAGGACTGAGTGAAAACCTGGGGACATGACTAAAATGTTTATTTTATCCAAAATATTATAAATTTATTTTGAAATATATTTAAAGCACAGATGGGATATGGAGGTACACAAAAATGCAAAATAAAAATGATTTCTGAAGGATTTTAAACATTATATTTCATGTTAAAATGTAGCGTTAGGCACTGGGGACATGTACAAATGCTATATTTTCAGTGTTTTAGGTAGTTTTTAATAATTGTTTTAATTATATATTTTAAATTTGCAGTTAGATTAATGTGCAGGACATTTTGCTGAATAATAAAATGCATTTTATAGTTAACTTTTCATGCATGTTTGTACATTGTGAAATTAGAAAAACGCAAGGTCTCAAGGCGCGTTCTTTAAAAGTTGGACTTTTAACTTGAACGCGGTTTTTAGAAACAAAACAGTTAAACAGAACGGTTTACAAAAGCAACGGTCAAATACGTCTGTCTAGTGAATAAAATAGA